CATCTGTGTACAACAGTAATCATATTTAATCATTACTCACATAAGTGACACGTTGTCATAATGAGCTTATCCCGCAATGGGACATGTGTCTATTGACTTAATTGCTTTTAAATGATTTATCACCGGCGTTTAAGCAGCCGCAACTTGTCCTCGAGCGTGTACAACTCACCAGCAAGTGAGCCAGTAACGCGATTGCACATAACGCTATCTAGCGTGGCGGCTGTGTGCACAGATGTTCGCAGCAAACATTTGCCGCGTCTCGGCCTCTCGCCGCAAACTTTGCCACATTATGTATTATTGACGGCGGAGATTGAATTGACCCCGCAAACATTTGATCGGTCGTTCGAGGACGCCCTGAATCGCTTACAATATTTGCCAATTTCTTACGTTGCTTGGCGAAACCTAAATAGATGAAACTCAAATATGTATAAGAGAGTTGCATGTGAATTTGAATAGGCATTGTTATTTTTAATCGTTATTAAGTTTATATATTGATGATAGCTCTCATGTCCTTAAATCGTATGGTACCGAGTGTGACACAAGATACTCTATGTGCGTGTTGTTTTCTAACATTTTTACATCAACCAAATTCGCCTCTTTGATTTGAAAACACTTGACACGAATGGAAAATCTTACGTTTCGTTTATTGGAGCGTCAACGAGAATCGATCAAAGATGAATTTTAACCTTTCGGGCGCTATTCTAAAAATATTAACATTACAAATATTAGAGTTATCAAATATATTAAATAATCCGTATCTCGGTAATGTTGATTTACTATCTACCTCTGAAATGAACCGCATTGTTTCTCGTTCCTATCTTCATACGCAACTGATATTTAGTGAAGACACGATGTTCCTATACAGTATCACGATGCCAAACCACGGGCTTTCTCTAATTTGTAAGTGCATCGCCCTTTCTCCTAGTTAATAGTGATTTGCAAGTTGCACATTATCTACGACCATTACCTACATTGTATGTATTAGTGGTCCCTGGTAGGGACACTACGTTTCTCTAATGCTATAAAATCATGTTCGTGTAAAGTTCGAGAGCAGTTATAAACAACAAATGATTCTATTAAAGAAATCCACACATAAATACCTGTTTAGTTATACCTACATATGAGAGAGATTCAAAGTGAGAACCGTTTCTTCCTAATTGATATTATCTAAGAATTAACTTCCATATGCTAAAGCCATTAGTTTATCCATAATTATCATGGTCATTAGACATTCGTTTCGCTTGCTGCCTTATGAAGTTACTTGTAAACATGTCATGCGGGAGAAAGCATGCTTAATGATTATTGAACGTAATTGAAGATCCATTGAGCTCTCTCCTCATATAGCCTCATCAATGTGACACTTAGTCTGAGAGACAATTCGGTTCTATTGTAAGTTGTGAGATACCTCGAAACTTTTGTAATGATCGTTGTGTTTTTAAAACCTTGTTGTGTTTTTATACATAGAAATAGCAGTTCTTAACATATTTTAATTCTGAAACCTTATTATGTTTTATGAAGAATCATAGTAAGACATAATATAATATAGAAATTCTCAGACAGTATTTAGATAATTGACACGATTCCTAAAGTAGAATTTAAGACCTTATTTACATTAAATTTAATGTACGATTCTCCAAGTGTAGGAAAAAATTCGTTTATTGTAAACAGAGAGGATTAAGAGAGATTTAGTAGAATCAGTTGTATTCTTTCGAGATGGGCTCCATTCGTCTAGATCATCTATTGCGAACAGCATCCATGGACGCTGATTGCCGCGTGGGGTTTACCGAGGCGCCCTCATCGATCTCATTCTACCCACTTCATAATCTCTTCTTATGACGTACAACACATCTATTCAAAAGTAATGACACGATGTGGCTTTTTAAATCCATTAACATCTTTGCATTCTAGTCCGATATTGGATCACCACATAATTTCCTAAGGTTTTTGGCTCGGTCAAAAAGGAGAATTTTTTTTATGTGAAAAGTTGCCAAGCGAGCCAAGAGGCGGTTCACCTGATGTTAAGTGAATACCGCCGCCCATGGACATCTTCTACACCCGAGCACCGTTGCAGGTGCTTTGACAACCTTTTGAAAATTGGGCTCCGGCACTTCACGCCGGTCTTCTGTGAGGTCGTGGTACTTACCCGGACGAGCCTGCCCATTCGTACAACAGCCGAGGCTGCTACGTGGCCCAACCACCGTAAATACTTTATTTTTCCCTCCAATGTATTTTACGTAGCAGACTAATGTATTTAAATATTTTCATTCTATCGGCCTTTTGTATATTATTGTAACATAATTGAAAATTTTCTTAGTTTTCATCATCTGATGAAGTTCTATTACTGTATTTAAAATGAGCCTTACAAAACTCCATAGTTACATTTAGTTAGTGACATAAGGCAAAGTTTTAGTAAACATACATATCGCATAAGTTTTTAATTACAACCACAGTCGTATTCTGTTTAAAACTTTGTCTGCTGTCGATAACTGATTCTAAATTACATCCGTTGAAAACAGCTGTATTTATTATCGCATGCTCTGTAATTATTGGACTTATAATATGCTGGCTGCGAGTAATAACGCTTCTCGTAATTATGATCTCGTATTCAGAGGGAAAGGGGTCACCTCACGATCGGTTTATTACAAAGAAGGAAAAGAATAACAATTAGGCCGTGCATGGTTAATTCGTGTATACAGCGTGTCGTTACCATCGCGACAATAAATGAACACACGTCTAACGCTACTTACCAATAATCATACAAAAATATTAATGTTAAACAAAATCCATAATTAAAAAAAAATATTTTTCAAACAAACTAATTAAGTAAAAAAGAAACAAAATTTGTAACATCCTATACAACTCGCGCCACAGCGTCGTATTACAAGCCTCTCCTTCTAACAGTATGTTTTGTCTCTTTTAAATTCATTCAACCCATTCATATGCTTTGTGACCTTTACAAATGAACTTTACGTTACGCTTTTATAGCTAAGGGTGCTCTAAAATTCTTTGTTTTGGAAAATTTAATAACTCTGTAAATATTGATGTTTAAAGAATTTAAATGTTTAATACAACTTTAAAAAGCTATCCCCTTTATAAAAAAAGTAAAGTAACAGCCTATACATGTCCCACTGCTGGGCAAAGGCCTCCTCTATATAGAGGGTATCAGGGCATAGTCCACCACTTTGCCCCACTGCGGATTGGCGGACTTCACATATCTTCGAAATATTTTTTTTTTTGTTATTATTTCGAAAATATGCAGGTTTCCTCACGATGTTTTCCTTCACCGCGGAGCACGTGATAAGTCAGCACTTAAAGTTAAAACTTCATTGGTGCCGGCACCGGGGATCGAACTCAGGTTGCTCGAGTATATTGAATTAAAGGCGAGCGCCCGGACACTGAGCTATCCCCTTTATGTGTGTTCATTTATTGTCGCGATGGTAACCATACGCTGTTTGACGACACGATAACCACATGGTCACCGTTATAATTAAAAGCATTACATACAGTCGTTACAATTAATAGAAACAAAATGAATAGTTAAAATTAGAATAAATAGTAAATAATGCAATCTAAAAGATAAACTGTCGTTTTCTGGACAAAGCGCCCAAACCCTTTAGCCAAGAGCTAAGGGGCCGATGTCCTCATGGAGCGAAAATCATTTATATAATATTAACAATATCGTTTATTGCCAAAAAAGAAAAAATATAGAATATAATATTTTCATTTGCCATCTTTAGGAAAGGACAGAGAAGGTGGTTAACCTGCATTCAATTCTGTCCCGAAATGTGCAGTGGTATAGTGACCCTAGCAGCAGGTCTATATGTCAAGTCGTTATGAAGACGTTGATGACAGACCACGCCCCAGTATAGGGCTGTGTTTATTGAACCTCCATGAATTTTTTAACTACCAGTTGTTATATCTGTGATCGTTTTATTGGACTCTATAATTTCCACCGAACAAGCTTTATCATGAACAAAGCTTTAGTCCAAGCATAACATATCAGCACATTCTTAAAGTTGCAGCATACGTTGAGCTTTAGAAAAGTATAAAATACGGACAGTAAAACCTTAAGAAACAGAAAGCATTATTAAATGTTAGACTTGGCGCAAAACATTTTTTTTAATGAAAAGCACTTATTTGCTTGTGCTAAATGAATCATTATTCAAAAAACCTTTTAAAACAAGATATGAGTATAAAGAGATGATTAAATATATCGATATTATTAGTTTCAATATTGTTTGTAAAATGGTACGTATTTGTTTTGCAAATGGCAGTCTATAAAGTTATGCCAGATAAGAATGTTAGCAATAAACAATTCGCGATTTTTATAGAGAAATCTTGTGCGCTTTTTACACTAGAAGTATATCAAGGCACTGACCTTAAAATATCGGTATTAAAATCATCTAGAGTGTTCGTAGTCAGTGAGAAATATTTTCGTACATTTACTACTATAAGATTAAGCAAAGCGATAACCGGTCAGTAAATAGGGTCTATCATATAAATTAATCTTATTATACGAGTAAGTTAGTGGTTTCCTATAAAGGAATACTGTGTTTAAAGTCGTTAAGTAGATAACAGGAGCTTTTTATTGAGGACCATGTAGGTTTCTTCGACCGATTTAATAACTGTCGAACAAGTTAAAATGAATATATTTAGCATTTGAAATTAATTATCATATTTCATTGGAATGTTATAAATATTCGATTGAAGTAAATTTATATATACTATACAAATACCGGACCGTATTATTTTTACAAATGCGAAATATTGTGTAGTTAAGTTTGTTTGCAATGTTTTAAACTAGAAAAACCAGATTTAAATAAAACTCGGATAGGGCACTTATAGTCTGTATTAACTCACAATAGTTTTTATTATTAAGTTTACAAAAATATTATTGCAATTCGCAACAACCGAAGAACCCTAGACAGGTAGAGAAATATGCGAGTTGTCCAAGCAGCGTGATACCTTATCGCCGGCAAACATCGAGTGTACCCGTATCAAGTGCGATCAGTGAGCGGCGCGGGGCGCCCTCTGGCGGTGGCGGGCGGCTGACAATTTGTTGTGTCGTGTAACCACGCCCGCTTCAGCAGGATGATAGCACCGTGGACGCTCCTAGCGAAACACGTGCAACACGATTCGCACAGATTATATCCGCGGCGTGTTACACCGAACACGCCGGTGTTGAGGACGTGTTCGATACGACAATGATTCAATATTACCCGCGACAGATCCGATGCGTGAGAGATCCTTTATAACGCCGATTGGTGCTTAGCGTAATAAAGATTTAAAAAGATATCATAACTGTTTAGTTGTAACGTTAGCATAAATACAATAAAACTTAGGTTAAGATCGAAAAAAAAATTGTGATATTTAAATTTTCATTGCCAGTATAACACTTCTTTTATTTATTTATTTTTAACAAAATTATTGTCAATCAAGCCGGATTATTGTAATAACACAGAAAGCTAAAACGGTAAAAAGATTACGCAAGAAGAAGACTTGTGTGATAGATTAAAACATCAGCAGGCATTCTGCGGCAGTCTCGTGTAGCGCCTGTGATAATCACAAGCGAAGCGGCAGCATATCCCCCCCCCCCGCTCTCCACCTCCCACTTCACCCCCCCTGGAGTACTGTCATATAAATCATTCGCCGTGGACAGCCAGGGCTGCTATCCGAAAGGTTATTTCTTTTTCCTTTTACTCAAGCCGCCATAAAAAGGTCAGACATGAATGCCCGGTTATCCAATTTTACCCGCGGACATTACACAAAGATCCTTTATGTGTAATACGAAAGACGTTAAGATAAAGGTAAATTGGGGTACCTTATACCTGTAATGTATACACGCACACATGTTATCAAACAAGACGGGGAAGACAAAGAGGTTTCTCCACACACTTTTCATGTAATTGAATTTGAACTCAATCCAGTTTTTTTGAAGTCGCAGCTAATGAGCTTTATGGTACAAATCCAAGATTTGTTAAGACTATGCGGTTGCAAATAGATCTATTTGCGTGACATTTCGTATCAAAAAATAAAATATTTAAATACGTTATATAGGTAATGTGTACTTTAGTAAACGATTGTTAAATAGTATATAATACCTAAATATAGTTCCTCAAAGCGTAAAATTTATAACGTGCCGTCGTAATTAAGAAGCTACTTTCATTTGAACAAGCTGATGAAGCGGCAAATCGGACCAAACTTAAATGGTGCTGACAAGAACTATTAATTGGAACTGTGAGGATATTACACCTATTCTGATTGGGCCCCCTAAAATACCTTACGTGACGCAAGTTGGTGTCGGCCGAGGCGTGAACCCTGGACGGAGTAATAAAACTTAATTGAGACCTTGTCGTAGGACCCAGCGCCGCTCCTAATGACAGCGTGAGATGCTGCCAGCCACATGCCGTACTTTTGTATTATTTATCCGGTAAGCACTGGTTGCGGGCGGTTATTAAATTTTACATGGAAGTTATTGTTTCTTTTTAAATTATTATGCCTTTATTTTAAAATAGAAATGAAACGAATAACGGGTCCACCTGAAGTTAACATGTCAAGCAGCCTATAAGAATTACAGCATCGTAACGCAAGGGACTTTGATATTCGGAGAGTTACACAAGTCGGACGATACGCAAAAATATAAATATTCCAACGTATTTTATTAGTTGTTATACTATCCAGTTTCCATTAATATATTGTCTGTGGTGTGGTCGGTGAAATCCGCTCCAATGCAAAAGTCGAAGCCTCGAGAGTTAGGCTGCATTAGTCTTCTGATTTAAAATATCCACGAAGCAGATTTTAGAGTTCTCAATTTTTGATATATAAAGAAGTTAAATATTTGTTTCCTACAAGAGGACGGAAATTGTTTTCCCCTAGAAGTCATCGAGTCGTATCGCTTTATGGCAGAAACTTTATGAAAAGCACACGAGTTGAATAATTGAGGTAGTTCCTTGCCACCATAGTAATAGTGGAATTCGAGGACTAGTATTAATAATACCGTTTACATGTGCATGTAATTTCAGTAATCGTATATTAAAAAATAATATATTTTTAATTTTTAGCTGTAAGTGTAGTGTTTTTTTTTCTTTGTTTTAACACCTATTTTTTATATTTGCATCACCTAGTACGTTGACTGGTAAACTTGGCAGATCTAAACTCCACAGGCATTAAGGTATGTCTATACACAAGATTTCTGTTAAAGTTGTATTCATTAAAAGTCAATTAACAACATATATGTGTATGTCCTAATGCGGGCCAAGGGCCAACATCTTCAACATATTTTTTCCTGTTACTTTGCAAAAATATGCACGTTTCGCAAAAAAGGAAAAAATAAGAACGTGATAAGTTAGCACCTAAAAAGTCCTCAGAGTCTCACTTTGAACTTAATGTACTCGAGAAATCAGAGTTCAAATCTCGAATCGAATCACCATTGAAATTTGTAAATGTAATTTTAAGTGTAGATTTACCACCAATACGTGTTCTGCGTTGAAGGAAAAAATCGTAAGTAAGCCAACACATCCGCGAAATAATAAAAACAATATTTTGGTCATGTCATGTGCCTTATTCTCATTGGACTCGCGTGTCGAATCATGCCCATGTACCCTCTGTATACCGACAGATATTAGATATTTTATGTGAAAAGTGGCAAACGAGCTGGCGGTTCCCCTATGTTAAGTGAAAACCTGCATTCGAAACACCCGTAGGCTTGCTAAGGCGTTGCCACCTTTAAATAAAGTGCCAGGTAGCTGGGACCTGGCTCAATAGACGTATCGTAGAAGTGTAACACTTCTACTTTACGCCAGTTTCCTGTGAGGTCGTGGTACTCACCCGGACGGACCTGCCCATTCGTTCAACAGCGAACTGTTGCGTGGCCTTACCTGGTTTCAGATCTGGGTGTTTGTCCACGTGAAATTTATAGATGTAAAATGTTTGTCTGTCCTTACAACACAGGTTGACGTTATCCTACAGTAATGGCAATGTTTAACATTTAAGTAACAAAAATATGCGAAAGAGATTCTTATGATTGTTTTCATATTATGGAAAGGTCTTAGGAAGTAAATAAAAAATTACTAAATTACTATTATATATATTCAATTAAAGTTATATTAGCTTACCTCAAGCTATCCTTATCGAAATACATATCTACGTACCTGTAAACAAAAACCAATTTCAATTATAAACTAAGAAAAGAAACAAATCAAAATCACAAATTTTGGTTTAATTTCTCCAGTTATTATGCCAGTCGGCTAGTCTTGTAAGAATTTAATTATAAATACCGTAGTGTTTTACTTTCCATGTACCTTCTCGGACTTCCAACTTTTAAATCCAATTAATCTTCTATTTGCCCTCTAAATACCACCCTGCTTCATTTAGAGTAAAGCTGGATCTCATTACAACTTCAACTTTCGGACAGTTTTACGACGAGTTGCCTCGCTCTTTGCCAACTAAACACATTCAGTTATTAGGATTTAGCGAACGTGTTAGCGTTTCGATGGTGACTGTCCTTTAATTCTCTGTACGAAACTAGCTATCCTATGCCAGCGTACAACGCAAGAGGGCCTCAATTTATTCAACCCAAGTGGTGCATTTGTGAAATACACTTTCTTTGTATGGGTAACACCAATTTTTACTTTAAACAGATATGGATGTATTTAATAAGTTGTAAGTTATAAACAATAAGCTTACATTTCATATTTTAACAGTGATTTAATTGATGGTCTCACTTCAAAACTGCTCTTGTTTTCGTATTGATATCTTTAACATAATTTAGTTTAAAAATGACCCATAACAACATTATCTATCGCTTTGTAATCCATAGTTTTTAATGGCAACATTCGGATTTAATTCTTCTCTCGTGTATTTATTTATGTTATTGATATATATTATATATTTATTTATGTTTATGTAACTTTATTATAATTTTGTTTATTTTATTATATTTAAGTCTATTTTGGTATTAAGTAAGTTTATTAAGCACTCCACTTTGTTTATTTTTATCCATAATATTTATTTTATATATGCAATATATATCTATATCTTTATTTTTATTTTTATTTATAAACCCAACCAGACGAGAAAACAAATGAATATCCCCCCATAATAATAATAAAGTGGCGTAGGGAAGTGACGACCCCATCGCCCACCGGCGTAACAGTTCAAGTGACAGAACTGTTGCGCCGGCGCAATCAGTCAGTGCCTTGCCAATAGGTGTTTGCACCGTGCCTCGGCATAAGTGAGGGTGCATAGGCCCGTCTGTGCGTTCGGCCACACTACAGAAAACGGTGCCGGTCTGGGGGCGTCTTCCGTTAAACGACGCCCTAAAAATGGATGATGGAAAAAAAAGGAAAGCGCATAGGGCCGCTGCCTGGGGGCCGCCAGGGCGCGTCTGGAGCTGGCGCTGGACGTGGCAGCATGCGGGACGCCAGCCAAGCGCGGGGTACTGCACGACCACCAAGCAGTACCTCGCATCCATCATCCCCACCAGTTGGCTTGGTGTCGGCAGGATCCTCTCGGATCCAGCAATCGGCACCCGCCGCTGGTGGAATACGCCGCTTGCGCTGGACTGAAGATATGAATAGGAACGCAATGCGGGCGTATCTTAGGGCGAAAGGGAGTGAGACTGGAGGGTTTGCGTATCGGGCAAGGATGCATCGCTTTTTTGCTGAGCTGGAGCCATCTATAACCGTCACCGAGCAAAACCTGGCAGACCGAGTTCGGTACATCATGCGCTCAAAAATATTTGATGATACCGAGCTCGAACGACTACGACGTGAGGCTGTTCCCTCATCGGATGAAAATGTAGTGGCTGGGGATATGGCCCCGCAAGCTGCGGACCCTGCAGGGTTACAAGCAGATGCGGAGGCCGCAGTTAACCCCCCGGCTCCTGTAGATTCGTGCGATGATGGAATAGTCGCCCAAGAAATAGAGCAGATGGGAAGCATATTGGAGGAGGCAATTCTGGAGGTGCGCGAAACGCCTCTCGAGAATCGACCACGTCTCCCCCGCATACCCCTAAGTAAGCGGAGTCGGTCTGTCGTGAGGTCTCTTAACCCGATGCTGGCAACCTATTTGGAAGCTAGCCGGGACCTTTGCGATACGGACTCAATTCTCTTTGGCGCTGCACTGGCAGTATGCCGAATCGTTGGCGCCAAACTTCCCAAGGCTGGACGTGCTACCAGACCAGGTAGCACTATCCCAGCATGGAGAAGAAGAATTGAGGACCGTATCGCAAAGGTAAGGGCCATCATCGGCAGGCCGATAAGCTTCAGGTCGGGCAATAATAGGCCCAGAATTGTGCGCACCGTTAGGATGGCGTTCGCTGGGACCAACATAAACTTGTCCCAGCCGGACATTACGCAAAAACTAACGGAGCGCATAGATGACCTGAAGCAGAGGATCGCTGCTTGGGGGAAGCGGATTCGGAGATATTCCGAGAGGACGGCGCGGTTTAGCCAGAATCGCCTCTTCCAGAGTGACCAAAAGAGGCTCTACAAATCTTTGGAGCGACCAATGAGTTGTGGAACGGGCCAAGGACCGGACCAGGCAGACACTGTCGCCTTCTGGCGCAGCCTGTGGTCAGAGCCCGTAGACCACAGTGAGGGCCCTTGGACACAAGTCGTGGCGAGCCAATGTGCAGACATTACACCCATGGACCCCGTCGTCATAACACCCGACGACGTATCCGAGGCAGTCCGTAGAGCCCCGAACTGGAAAAGTCCGGGACTCGACGGGCTGCATCACTACTGGCTGAAGGGGTTCGTGGTGTGTCACGCTGTGCTCGCCCGGCAGTTCCAAGAGGCTCTCGATCAGAGGTCGCTCCCGAGCCTCTTTACTACTGGGGTCACTCATTTGGTTCCTAAAGATCAGGTTACCACAGACCCGAGTAAGTACCGCCCCATTACGTGTCTACCTACCATCTATAAGACACTGACATCTATTCTGAGTATGAGAATCACCCGGCATATTAATGTGAATCGGATTATGTCTCGTACTCAGAATGGATGTCGGGGCGGCGGTCGTGGAACCAAGGAACCGCTTCTCATCGACGCGGTCATTGGTAAAATGGTTAAACGCAACCGTCGGAACCTCTCTCCGCCGCCTGGATAGACTACAAAAAGGCATTCGACTCGGTGCCCCATACATGGCTAAAGAGGGTCCTCGAACTGTACAAAGTAGACTGTACAGTAAGAGACTTCCTCGAGCACTGTATGGGGCAATGGAGTACGATCCTTTGTCATCTAGGCGAGCGGATGACGGCTGCGGAATACCGGATAAGGATACGACGGGGTATTTTCCAGGGCGACTGTTTGAGTCCAATATGGTTTTGCCTCTCCCTGAATCCTCTCAGCGTATTACTGGAGGGCTCGGGGGGAGGATTTCAGCTTCGGAGAGGAGGGACAAAAGTG